AGCACTGAGCCATGGTAGTTAAAGTAGTGTCAAGCTAGATTATTTCTACAGTGAGGATGCAGCCAAAATCTCTTGTTTTGCATTCTGTCACAACTAGCCGAGTAGCCAAAGCAAAATGTAATGAATTGCCTGTGCCCATAGGAATGTGACCATCCTTTGGGGTTGCAGATTGCCAGAAATAGTGCAATTTGAGTCCACTTTTAGGGTTAAGGTTAGTGCTAGGGAATCATGGGAAGGGAGAGGCATTCCAGAGTTCACCATGGTATGCCAACAGCATCCCCACCTGGCCTCCTTGCCACGTCTGGGCGGGTGGACCTAGGCTTTCCCAGGACCTTCCGTCTCCAAGAATCCCGGTCTATCCATGGAGAGGCATGGCACATTTCACACCAGAAGGCATACACCCTGTCTGAAGTGCCACTTAGTGTGGACTGCACTCCCTGCACCTTCCTAGTGACACCTCTGAGATAGCCATCAGTGGCTTGTGAAGCTGCTCTGTAATGAGTCTGGAATTTCAAGAAGCCATCAAAGGTGTTAAACTGCATCTTCAAAAATATATTCAGCACCTTGGATGGCTCTTTCCAAATTCAAACTACAGTGGACCCTCCACATTCACAGGATCCCCGTGAAAGTGGGAAAACTGGAAATAAAAAACCTAATTTTTTTTTCTACTTGAGAGAACACCTCTTTAGGAATCTCTAGGTCCTCCAGGGCAATTCTATGGTCAAGATCTGCCAGAAGTTGACCTTGACATTGCCCTGGAGGACCTACAAATGCCTAGAAAAGTGTTCCTAGGTCCTTCAGTGTGACCTTTGGCAGTAGTTGGCAACAGAGCCATGCTGGAGGATGTAAAAGTTCCTAGAGAAAACATATTAATCAAATCTGTGAATAATCAAATCTGCAAAAGCCAAAGCCACAAATGTGGAGGGCCAACTGTACAACCCAGAGCAGATCCATCGCCCCAATGACAGGAGAGCCACCAACGAACAATGTGCGACAGAACCAATGGTCATACCCTTGGGGAAAGGGACAGAAGTGTTCAATCAAACCTGTCACGGTGAGGTTGCCTCGGTTGCTTTCCTTTAGTGTCTGGTTTAAGGAGAAGGACACGAGTGTGCAGAAATAGGTCCCACTGTCATTCTTTTCTAACTTCAGGATTGTCATCTTAGCCATCTGTGAATCCAGACAAGTTATTCTGTACTTTTTGTTACTCTCACGAGTATCCAGTTTTCTTGGCTGGCCGTCCGTACCCAGTTTGTACCAGTTCACGAAATAGTCCAAAACAGCCACATTTGAGATATTGCAGTGGAACTCAGCCGTTGTTCTCACCTGTTGACTCAACTGGATAGGCCAAAACATTGCTGCCCAAATAGACAAAAAGGAAGATGTGTCATTAGTACAGAGATTTGCAATGGAAGATGGAAGCCTCAGGATGACCAGATGTCATCACCACAAAGGAGGACAAAGCATCACAAAATGTAGGGCATTCAAGAAAAATGTAGACTACTGCAAAATAAAAGCTAAAAACACTAATATAAGTGTAAATCCATTGCATATGGTTGATTTCCACCTATATTACATATACTATATTTTATTATGGACTCAGTTGTATTTTTCTTTGTTAAAATGCCTTGTTGGCTTGCAATGTACTTACAGAACTCTGAACAAGACAAGTGCTTAAAATTGTACTTCACTAGCAACAACCCTGGTCTGAATGTCCATTTCAATTATTCCTTCCATTTGTCCATTGTGCTGAAATTAAAGGGGGGGGGACACCTTTTTTAACATTTGCATTGTGTCCTCAAGTAACCCATTACCTAACAGGTTTGTTGTCATTTTCTCCTCTGAGAAACAAATGGGCTCCAAGCTGGGGAAGGGCAGGTTTTGTCTGCTGCTGCTGCTCCTAGGAATAGATAACTTTAGAAAGATCCATCCTATTTGCAGCAAAGAGAGGCTTCCAAGAAGACGCATTTCTCGAAGGAGAGAAGCATATGTGGTCTTACTCAATGGGCTTCTTAGTCGTGCTCAAAATGGAGGACATTTTGGAATTCCTCCTGGGCAAAAGGATGAAATATAGGACATGTCCTGAAAAAGGAGGATGTCTGGTCACTCTGGATAGCCTCTATGTCAATGGGGCAGTGAATCCATCCAACAGCTGCTGGACAACAGCCCATAGTTTCAAGCAGCCAAAGCCACTTTTCTCATCTAGGGACCTCCAGATGTGTTTTCTTTTTTTATTTTATTTTATTTTTTTATTTTAATTTTTTTTATTTTTGCTCTGCTCCAGAATGTCTACTGTTTTAATTGTTTTAATTTTACCTATTATTTCAATTTTTGCTTATTGATTTTATTTAGGTTTTAACTGAGACTAGCATTTAATGTACTTTTAATGTGGGGTTAATATGTTCGTTTATATTGTTCAGTTGTTTATTGTCGGGGGGGTTGCATTTGATTTTAGATGTAAGCCGCCTTGATTGCTATGGTAAAAGGTGGGGCATAAATAAATTGTTGTTGTTGTTGTTGTTGTTGTAGATGGGAAAAGGAAATGGGATGGAGACCAATATTTCCTGATCCATCTGCCACCCCCCTGCATTTTAGGCAACCCAGAAGGGACATCACATCAGTTTCAGTTCTGATTTTAACCCTCTTTAGGAGAGGTTTTTGGTAGGATTGTGGCCTGTGAAATAATCTAAACTACTATGTTTTGGAGCGGTTTTGCACACTCTTGATTATTTGGGGGAGATTTTTGTCTTCTGTATTTCATTTTGAGGTGGATCCAGGGATGTTGGAACTGTCGTGCATGAACTCGGTAGACCACAAATAAGATTAAACCCCACGGACCACATTTTCTCCAGCTCTTCTGTCTTCCAGCCTATCTGGAGGATGCCAAGTTGAAAGAGGTTGAACTACAGCTCTAAGCCACAGGAAAGGAAGCTTTTCTCCCTTGCTCTCACATTGCCCTTGTTCACCTTAGACTGCACTTGCATGTAGTATGCTGAGTGACATGGCACAATGCTATGGAATTCTGGGATTTCTGGTTTTGTGAGCTATTTAGCCATCTGTTAGAAAGCTCTGGTGCCACAACATACTACAAATCCCAGGATTCCATAGCATAGAGCCATGGCATTTAAAGCAGTCTCAAACTACATTATTTCTGCAGTGCAGATGCAGCCTCAGACAGCCTACCAAGAGAGTTTCCAAAGATGCTGTGCGATCCCTGTTAATTCACATGAAAAGACACCCCATTGAGGATTCATTCCTTCAGGTATTTTATGGGGACCAAATAGGGTTTAAGCACAAGAATGAGCCTTCCTGGCCTCTCAGATCTTCAGTGAAGGTATTTCTTTTGGTCCAACCACATTCACAGTCCAGTCTGGTAGCAAGGACGTTCTAGTGGTCGCTCCCAGGCAACGGGTTTTTTTGGCAAGATTGTTCAGAGGAGGCTTGCCATTGCCTTCCCCTGAGGCTGAGAGCATGTGACTTGCCCAAGATCACCCAGTGGGTTTCATGGCCAAGCTGGGAATTGAACACTGGTCTCCAGAGTCATAGTCCATCACTCAATCCACTATGCCATGCTGGCTCTCATCTTCCATATACTCTATAATATTTCTTAACTACACTA